TCGAGAAAAGGGGGTTAAAGGCCGGTGAGTATAATCGTTAACGTGGGATCGATCGATCGTCTCGCGGAGAGGCGAGAATAAACTGTGAAACATAAAAATAGATCGCATCGAACGGGCGGCCTCTTCGAAGGAAATTTATTAATTCCAGTGGCGAGATATTATTGGCGGAGGGAGGGGAGGAAAAAAAAAAGGTAGCAACTTTTAAAATTGGTCGAATTATTTTTTCCCCCTCCTCCTCTGTTCGAATAAATTGGGGTAGAGGAGGAGGAACGACGTGGATAAACCGTGAAAACGGGAATCGAAATTCGAGTTTGAATTTCGACGCCTCGACGACGGTGTACAATTATCATTAACGTCCTATCCAAAATTTCAAGGATAATAACGTTTATCAATTGAGGTTTAATTATCACAGAGACTCCTCTGGTTGCTTTGTAATCAATCTCGCGTTCGCCAAATACGCGATTAAATTTCAAGTTGATATGCGATGATATCCGCGAAGATTTTAGAGAATTTTCCAATCAATTTTCCTTAACCGCACATTGATTCAAATTTTTAAAACAGCTCGTCGAAATTGACTGGCAAAAAAGAACTGGTATTGCTCTTATTATTTCAAAATCGATTTTCTCGAATTCCTCGAGTTTCCCTCCATTTTAAAAATTGAAAACTTGCAAAACTGATTGGCAGTTTTATTTTCGCTCGAAATCAAATTTTTACCCCCTCTTGATATGAAACCGTAAACCGATATTCGAGAGTTATCTAACTCATCGATTAGATCAGAATCGGTCGATTTTGAAATATCAAATCACGTACGAATTTCGTTCGATCCTTCTTTGGAATCGTTCAACATCCATTTCGAGGGATTATTAACAGGGAAGAAAAGGGGATAATCCGTGATCAATTAACCGGTTCTTTTCGGCCGCGTCTTCCCTTGGCTTCAGCCTGTTAATAAGTTTGCAGTAATTACAGCTGCAAGGGGTAGTTAGTGGGATTCGAAGCAGATTGCCGCTCGAATATTCCGGATGTAGTTAAGGGATTGGTTATATCGATGTAATATACCGCTCGCGTTTCCTCCATCTTAAGCCGTGTCTCTTAATTGCCTTAAGTTCTTCGTGTCGAATATATCGTTCGTTTGCCACCGTAATGGGGGGAGGAGAGAAAAAAAAAAAAAAAAAAAAGGAGAAAAGTTTTTAGCAGGAGCTAGAATTGGAAATATTTTTAATCTCTAAAAAGAACGTGTAGGGACGTGATATTAACTTTATAAATATTAAACGTGTATTAAACGCGAGAAGAAAGATATGCGTAATAACGTATCGTAATTTATATAATTATGCGGAATATACGTATAACGTGAAACATATATATATATATATATTTGCACGAAAATCTGCAATATACTTATTATATTACGTTATATATGACATTGAATAAAGTAATATAAAAGAATTATGGCATCGAATTATAATATATATATTTTACTTCAACTGTAATGTCTTTAGTCACGATGAATATATATATATATATATATATTCGTACAACGCATATTATTCGAGAAATTATTAAAATTGATAAAACTTATAAATTGTTGAACAATTGGAATATGTACGTAATATGAAACACGAAATATTTATTTACAAAGATTTCGATTATTTATGAAAAACAATAGATCCTGACGCCATTTTCGTACCAAGATATGCGTGCAATGTACGAAATATTCACAGAGTTTTCCTCCCCGACCGTCCTTTTCAAAACGAGTATGAGGATTAGATCGAAGAGAAAAGATCGAATACACGATTTATTCGACATTGGGTATTCAATGTCGACGAGAAACGATGGATTCGAATGCTATTCCCGTGGAGGATTCGCCAAGTTCGAGTCGTTAGAGAGAGGTATGCGCGAAGCCATACTATGCGGTAAGGTTTCGAGGCAAAATGTCAACCCTACGCGAGGTCAGGGTTTCACCCTTCATCCTGACCTTTATCTTCCTCGGACACTTTTGACCCCCAACGGAAAATCCCTCTATCTAGGGACTCCCTCCATCTTCCTTCCAACTTTCTTCCTTCGTTTCATCTCGAAAATTTTCATTTTCGTGTTAAAATAAAAATGATCGACTCGAAGAGATGCGTTTCCAATAAAAAAAGATGTACTGCTGTATTTCTAGATGTATATAGTTTGTATATAGTCTGTTGTTTGTACATGGATCGGTTGTTTTGAAAGTTAACAATTGGAATTGCAACATGTTCCGATCAACAATATAGTAATGTTTTCGTTGAAAATGTGAAGAAAAGAGATAATACTTTACAGAAAATCTACTTTGGATAGATTCACTGTTAAAAAAAAAAATTTATTATTACTTAGATTTAATCTGTATCTTATGGAGAAGAAAAAAAAAATTAGAAAAATTAGTCGAGCAATAAGAATTATTCTTTCGTTCAATATCCACGGTAACAACTTCCTCAAAACTTTCACGAAAGAAGAATATTCTTTGTCGTGGAAATACGTGGAAATAGAAGTATTAGAAATTCGTATTGACGCGCGCTGTCAAAGGCGTGCCAAACTTTCTCGCTCGCGTTCTCCACGCCATTTGGCACGCTTCCTTACGCGTAACCGAACTTCAATCCCGAGAAATTCTCCTCGCATACTTGCGACCTTCCCCCCTTTAAGCCCATACGTTCCGAATCGAGGCGAAGATAAATTATTATCCACCTTATGGCGGAACAGAGAAATCTTTGCGCGCGCGATCCAAGTACGGAGAATCACGAACGAGGAGGCCGTGTTCGTGGAATATGAAATTGAAAAGTTTTTCAATGGCTTTTCCTAATTTTATTCCATTTAAGCCGAATTCATTCTCGTATCGAAAACCGCCAAAGAAGCTTGGTTTCCTTTGCTGCGCCGGGGCGTAGCAACCTCCTCTTCGAGACCTCCTTTCGGGAGGGTTAAAGAATCCGAAATTCACGGACGACTTGGCGAAGAATTTCGGAAAGCTTGAAATCTTTGAATCGCGAAAGCTGGGTCATCTAGGCGGATGCTTACTCAGTCTTGAAGAATTTTCATCAGAGAATATTTTCATATATATATGTGTATGCATATATACAGAGAAAATAGCTGGTTTGGGGGAAGAGGGGAAATCGAGTGCACGAACGAATGTAATGAGTCGTGGTGGAAACGAGTCGTACGATATTTGCGACTCGATTACAGATAGCTAATATATAACGCAGATTCTGTGACGTTTACTTAAATTGGACGATTTGCACGCATAGATTTTCTTGGGGGATGATAGGGATTCGGGGATGATTTAGATTTCGATTCTTCTACTTTTTCATCGCGAGACGAGTGAAAAATTCTCTGAGAACTGGGTCGAACTGGTTAATTTCACGCAACCATATCCGTTTGCTTGGGGGGGGCGAGGGGTGTGAGGCATCATCGTTGGTGAAAGGATCATCATCCGTCTCTGTCAAGAAAAGAGGCGCATCCAGGGGCATCCAGGGGTGAAAGGCAATTGACGACAATGAGAATCGTCGACGTGTAGTTGCGCAACCCCCCCCTTTCGTTAGGCTCCTCGAATTTTTAGGTTAACTCTTTGGACAGGTTTCACAGGATATGAGTCGAGACCGATTCTTCACTTCCTCCTCCTCCTCCTCCTTCTCCCTTCTTTTCCCCTTATTTATCTTCGCCGAGTCCCCGAGTTCGCGTCAAACCATTCGTCTTTTTCAAGAAAGACGTATGATTTCGCTTCGCGAGTGCTCCCCCGACGCATTAAGGAAGAAAGGCGTGTGATCTTTATATTTGAAGACGAATCGAACGAGTTTTTCCTTTTTTTTTTCCTTTTTCCATCCAATCGCAGAAATAGAAAAAGATCCGCGAAATTGCGTCGTCTTAAATTTGTTATTCGATAGATTCCCCATTAGAATTCGTCGTGCGTGTGTTTTTTTTCTTCTTAAGTTTCTCCTTTCCTTCCAAAAGAGAAGAGAAGAAAATTTTACTCGCTCTTTTCAATCGGCACGGAATGATCTGTATTCGTGAAATATTACACGCGATATTAGACCGAGGAGGAAAATAGATCGTGGAAAATGGACAAATAAAGCGGCGTGTCCGTTTCAATTACGCTTCCCTCCCACTTACGTATCGTATAGCGCTAAATAAATTAAATTAGAAAAGAGGGAACACGCGGTGTTCCTACGCGATAAAAATTTTACGACGGAACATTTGAACCGTGCGCCGCACGTAAGAAACGTATCCTTGACCTCTTGCATTAGCAAAATGATTCTCAACGTTATTTCTCAAACTTTATTCCCCATTTCTTTTATCCTCATTATTGCACCCGCCTCGCCTTCACCTTCGCGCGATTACCCCCCTCCTCCTGCAATATAATACATATATATATATATCCCCCGTCTAATTTCTTTTGTATCGATCAACCGATACGAGGCTCGTAAGAATCGTTCCTTCTAATCCTCCTGGATTAAGTTGGAGGCTAATAATATGAAAAAAAAAAAAAAAAAAAAAA